AACATGCCAGACCTGGTTGGCTAAGTAGTTAGCCCTTAGCGGACCAACTCCCCTGGCCTTCTATCTGTCTATTTGGCCAATACTCTCTCTCTCTCCAGCCGCTTCCCGAATCCTGGTAGAGGCTAGCTAGCAATTCGCACGCCCACACGCAAGGTAGTGAAACAAAGCTTCCTTTAGTTCGGACTGACAGTGACTCAGGGCAAGTCAAGACACGGCAAAGTACGTCTTGTACAGGGGTCAGTACAACTCAGCCCAGGAGGGACTTCGCCCGGAAGTTCAGTTTGTTGACTTTTCACGTCCGTTTCGCTTGCTAAGATCGCGGGTACTTAACCCTGGTATATTAGTCTGTGACTCTCAAATAAACAACTGCCGCTAGGTGAGGAAAGGTTGCACCGTAATAAGGGCTAATAGCTTTAATAGCTGATATAATCTTTCCAGTGCTTTTGTTTTTCGTTGTTTACTTTTTAAACTTACCATGTGAAACATACGGGCCAATAGGACATCACATGTAGCTTTTATAAAAGATGTTTCCTTTGGGGGCATGTTGGCCCTGGAGCCGAGGAACTGGCCTGTGTATGCCCTGGAAACAGTCTGGCACCAGGGCTACCGTTGAACAGTCTTTCTCCGCTGCCCAGTGCCAAAAAATTCTGCCCACCTGATTCTGAGGCTACCAACTTTTTAAGTGACGTCATCGTCAGCCAATGAGCGAACTCGTTTGGAAAATTTGGCAACAAGGAACACGACTTGTTGCCATTGAGAGGCTACCGAAGTTCAGTTTTAAGCCATGACTTGAGGCAAGACTTGTTCAGACGACTGATGGTGACCTGGTGACGTGACGTGCGATCAGTGCCACTCAATGATCCTCAATTGAACGGTTTGTGACAGGTTTTTATTCGTTTTGTTCGACTTATTTCGACGACTTGAAGAGGGTATCTGACGTCAAAAAAATGAACCACTAATACATGGCTACTATCAGCTGCACTCAGGGGACTGACAAACAGATAGATAATGTGAATGTACTTTAATACCCCCAGGAGACACTTGACATGGGTGGCAAAAGTCGCCCCCCTCCCACTCCAAACTTTACTGCGATGGCTGCTGGGAAATGTGATATTTGTGATTGACAGGAGCCCACACCCCCACCTGTGTGACATGATGATTAATTACTTACTTGTGGGTAGATCTAATCTAATTTGTTGTTAATGTGATTGTATCTTATCTGAGGCAAGACCTATCTTCTCTGTCGTAAATTCACCGTAAATTTATGTGTTCCCAGAAATACGTGTACTTATTCAGTTATACACTCAATCACTCATTGACTCATCCATTTATCCATCCACATATACACATTTCTTCATTCATTCATGACCATTCATTCATTCGTCCCTCCCTCCCTCCCTCCCTCCCTCACTCATTCACTCAATCATTTGTTCATAACGTTATAATTACTTATGCACCATTATTGTGATATACTTTAGTGACTGAACTTAAGTCTTCCTTAATGTTGCTTTTCATAGAAAAGCAACATTTTAAAAAAACCTCTTTGAGCATAACATAAAATTTAGGAGGGGAAAATTATAGTCCCTGAAAAGGTCATCATAATTTATTTGTTCTGTACATTACTGATCTCTTCACTATAACCAGGTACTTGACTGGGTGGTTGTGTGTGTACGTAGGTGGTCCGTTTGGACGCGGTCATCTCCTTTTCTCGACCCGTCAGCACCTTGTGCGTTTGGATGACATCCGTACAAATTCAGACCAGAGGAAACATAGTCACCGTAAAATCAGAACCACACCCCAGGGTCACGGAGAGGTGTGGGGTCGCGGGGAGGGCTCTGGTCACGGTCCTGTAGAGGGTAAAGGTCAGGGGTCAACGTCGGGATAAAGGTCAAGTGTGGACTTAGGGTCAAAGGTCAGGTGCAGACCACCATGCAATTCAAACTTTTAAACTTAATTGCTCAAAACAAACTGTACATCGGCAGGGAGAGCATATGTGCTTTCTCCCTGAATCGAGAACACTTTTGTAAGTAAGTAAGACAATGAACGATCCCTCTACTAGTCTATCCCTGTATTCATGGTCAGGTGCTGAATCACAGGAGCGTTTACATACATGGACGGGCTAATATGACAGAGGGAATGGATGTATTCCTTTGTATGGGGATGGTATCAGCGATAATGGACAGTAACGTTACTCATCAAGTTTCACTAGTAATCTGTATCTGCAAACAAGACTGCATTTTCCATGATATATCAACCCATTGAATATCCTATTACATGTAGTATGGACTTGGGATCGTGCCATGCTATTCATGGTCAGGTGCAAAAAGACCTGAGATGCGAACACGTGCACTCTGTCAGTTTTTCCCACAATCTGTGAAGTCAGTAGCAGCCCAAACATGTCCAGTTCGCCTGTATAGGTCTGCCTAGCGCCTGCATATGTGGAGATGTCCATTCTTGTCGTTAAGTTCTCTCAGCTCTCACGGCCCTGATAAGGCCAGAGTAGAGCCTGCCCTAAAACGTTCGTACCGAGTTGTACCGTACAGGGCAAACCTACAAAACCGGACAAGATATCACAGACGGGCGGGCAGGGTAGAGTATCAAGGCCGCGACTTCCGAAGGCCACAGCAAGTACATTCATGGATGACATCCTCCGCAGACTCCAAATATAATGCGATAGGGCGAAAAAAAAACAAGGCGGGCCAAAAAAAAAAAGATTTATACGTTTTCAAATTTTGACATCATAAACCTTATCAACAAAATACCGTCAAGATTTTGAGTATAACTTCAACAACGTAATCTTTGAACATCAGAACAAACATAGTTGGGCCAATTTTGCATGGATCAAATAACCCTTTACTGCATCCTGACCATAGTTGGTCAGCATTCTCGGTCTTAAACTTGTTTACAACTATACAGATGCTAATGTTGAAAGACTTAATGACATTTGCCGCCAAATTAAGCCTGTCTAGATCCAGAGAAACGCTATAACCAACATCTCTCAGAATCATTGGACAAGAATGCAGCTCCCTGCCCCTGTTGATCTGAACACCGTTCCCTGTAGGGTGTTCCCGGGCAGACGCCTCTTGTCTTGTGTGAACAAAGATGACACTGTTCTTCCGTCAGGACCTTCTATGGGCATGTAGACCGCCTCAGGTCCTGATATCTCCGCACTGAGGATTAGTACCGCAGCCAGAGGGGTCAGGGGTCAACAGCAGGGTCAGAGATCAGTGAAAGTGAACGCCGTTTGTCAGATAGATAAACGAGGGAACAGTCAGTAACAATACTTCACACACCGGCAAGTCTAGCCTGGGTACCATCCTCCGTAGTTAGACTCGGCTATCTATTGCGTGGTAGCCAGCGGCAATAGGGAGCCGGTGGTAACTACGGAGGATGGTACCCAGGCTAGGGCAACTCTGGAACATTCAGTAACTGTGTGTGCGATCTACAGTACCAATCTGCAATAGTTATAGAATAAACCATTCTTAGATGCAACTTCTGTGAAAATTACTCATACCATGGAGTTAGAAGGAGAACCCCCTCCAAGCTAGTGCAGTATTAATCGAATCTTAACTTTTTCTCGTTTTAAGTTAACTTGGGTTCAAATGCATATTAAACGAATAGTCATATCAGTAACATTAAGTAAATAGAACCTAGAACAAGTAATGTTCTTCGATAGAACTGTATTTCAAAAGGACAGACTTGGTCTTGAAAGACCCACACAGGAAACGACTCCAAAGAATGACTGAACGTCACAAAGCCTTGCGCAAAACGATAAGGGTTTCGGTAGCTATTTCTAATTAGCTTTTAATTAGCCTGAGGTCCCGGTTGGTGGAGCGGCTGGATTGGGCTCGAGTTACAGCCCATACCGGGCTGGTAATGAGAGTGCTGCTATCAACTCTCGTGATACTAATGAACTTAAAGAGGTGGAACTATACAATCGGCTTTGTTTACGGTCTTCAGCCGGAGGCTTTGGTCCGGACTCGGGGGAGAATGTCCAAAAGGCCGCGCGGTGTTCCATGGGAAGTATCGGGTAACACGCTATCAAATGTAAAGAAAACAAAGCCGTGAGTTAATTTTGGAGGAGTTGGCGACATTCGAGAAGTGGTTTTGGAGAGAGGGGTGCTGACGCCTCGGGAAAATTTGGACGGTTCAGACAGGATATAAATAGTGATGCAGAGAAGCAGCTTTTTGAGAAGATATTCTGTGTAAAGAAGCAACATGAGTATCATGTTGTAATTAAAATACACACACACACACCGCGCGCTCGCAAAAACACACACACACACATACACACACACATACATACACACACCTAAACACACACACACACACACACATGCACACACACACACACATGCACACACACACAGACGCACACACACAGTGACACACACACACACATGCACACACACACGCACACACACAGTGACACACACACACATACACACACACATACACACACACACACACACACACACACACACACACACACAGACAGACACACACACACACCAGGATTAAGAAATGGTTACTTGAATCACTTAAATTGAATGCACACCAACATGTTACGTATCAAAAACAGACTTTATCTAAATTGTTTACATAAGCTTAAGTCTTGCAGAAGATAGGTAAACAGTAGTATTACAAACAGTTCATATATATATATACATATTTACAAAAATTCTGGAAAACAACTTAAGGTCTTCGGACAGTAAATGCTGAGGAATATCTAGGACAGTTAAATTCTATGTAAAAGTCGAAGCTCCTCTATGGGCTATATTTGGAATACAGACTGGACAAATACAAACTCTTCAAGAGTTGCCTATAGGTACACGTAGAAAGTTGCATCGAAAAATTCAGAAAATGTACATAAGGAATCACATTGTACGAATATATAGTTGAATCTCAACGTAAAGGTATACCAGCGTGAATTAGAACAATAGGTAAGAGTTAATAGCTCTATAGGAATAGTACGAAACAAAAATATCTTTAATAAAATATATCACATACAGTACATGAAAATGTTTGCAAATATATAATGATACTAGCTGGAAATATAGGGTCAATATCTCGTGACGTTTCACTGTGGCTTGGTTCTTGAAATCTCACGAGAGTTGTCCTCGCGAGAGTTGGACGTGACGTCACTGTTCTCCTCTGGCAGGGAATCTAACGTGGCCGCCGTCTGCGCATGGGCAGTGGTGGAAATGCTCTGAACGATGAGAGACAGGCAGTCTAAACTGGACACCTTGCTGGCTTTGTAAGCTGGAGGGAAATAATAAAGTTTGCAATGGATTAATTAGGAAAATTATGAATAGACCAATATGCTACATAAGCTGTTTCTTATAGACACAAACAGAGCTATGACCCTCCCTCTAGACATATTTTGAACATCAGCAATTTTGGAGGAAAATAATAAGTTTGAAACTAATAGATTAGAATCATGAATAGACGAATATTCAACATGTTCAATGCATGTATAAGCTGTTTCTTACAGTCACACATAGATTTCTGTTGTGCCCCCCCTCCCCTAGACCTGTCTCTTGACAGAAGCATATTTTCAACATCAGTTTTCAGTCAGCGATTCTGTCAGATTTTTGCCCAAAGCACAAAATGTCTGAGTTTCTGTTTTGTAATTACGAGACGACCTCGGCCCGTGATTGTGATCTGGATGAGGATTAGTGTTATCGGGGAGATATCCAGTTTTCCGGAACAACAGATAAAAGTCTGGGCAGACATCAGAGTTTGTTGTTTGTCTTTGCACGGAAGGAGGAGCGGACTGGACAGGCGATATCAATTAAAGCTGCCGATACCTTCATAGGAGAAGGACATAGGGTCGTCAGTACAAGGGGGAAGGTAGGCAAACTGGACCCTCTATGGCGTTAGAGGATTTCTACTAATTCGGCTTCAGCCTGCAAAAGAGTCTAGGTGGAGTCTAGGAGGAAGGGGTGTCGATATTTTGAATATGTCCAAATGATTGATATGTGTCCATTATTAATATATTGTCATAAATTAAAATATCAGTGTCAGGTCAATAATTGTAAAAAATGACGGAAAATATACAGAACTTTAGAAAACAACGTCTTTTGAAATTGAAAAAAAACGAAGCATGTAACATATTTATTTGCGTTTATTAATATGGCTTTCATATCTTTATTTTTTCTTACCAATAGCAACAAATATATAATTTACTGTCGTTAATTGAAGATCAGAACACTCACGGCCCTTGCTACACGTTTCTCAAAACGTCTTTTGGGATTGATACATGTTACAACCAACTTACTTGCTGACTTAATTTAATTCTCAAACGCTACTTCTTTTAAAAGGTAGATTACAGGCATAATGTTATATTCACTATATTGTTGTGGCAGTTTTTTAAAGAACGGTACACAAAAATAATTATCATCACACCGTATACTTTACACTTTTCTGGGACAAGCCTTCTTGTGCTGTAAATTTTATAATGAATACAAGGTGGTGAAATTTGTAAATACTCCAGGTTAATCACCATTTCCCTGTAGTTCTGGGTTTTAATAACTCTAACCTCTGTGAGTTGATCTGTTTCTTCTCTCCTGCGGCGATCTAATGATCAGTAAATGGACCCCATCTGTACAGTGTGATAACCCGGCCTTGACCTGCCCCAAATCTCACGTTTAATTCCCAAACATTTCCCCAACTTCACGACTTCCTCTCATTTCCTACATCATAAAACATCTGACACCAACTCAACAATCATGAACTTGATCTTGGGTAGGTTATATACCGTAGTTTGGCTCACTCATTTCTTTTTCGAAGTAATGAGAATTTAAAGACAATTTTTCACCTCTGACCCCCCAAAAAGTGATTTTGATTGATGCATATACTCGGCAGATTCATGCAGTTTAAGTTTTATAAATTTATCAATTCGTTTGTGATCAATATATGTATAATTGTCCTAGAAGAGTATATTAGATTTTCAAGTCTAATCTAATGGATTTGGAATAAAACATTATACATCAAATACCTCACTACCAACACTGAGAGAGTGAATATATGCAGATATAAACCTTAGTGAAATGGCATTATATGAATATCAGAGAAAATATGCAATTAGCGATAAAACCCCTATATTTTCTCATGGAAACCGAACCAACATCATCACCATTTCTTATAAGAACGCCAGATTGTCCGTGTAAGGCCTAAGTACTCGTAGCTCACTTGCCTACCGGGACCCTTCTTGTCGTGCCACTTGTTTGGCCGCTTATTAGAGTAAATGACCGCCACTGGAAATAACTAGATAAGCTGTGGTTTCACACGAACTGAGACCAGTTAAAACTGGATTGTGCAGTCTTATATCTGTTCCTGTTAGGTTAATGACTAATAATGGATTAATGCCTAATAATGGATTAATTCCTTACTATTAAAACATATATTTGTGCCCTGAATTATCATTTTCCTGTAACAGGAAGCAACCATTATATCCAAATTAGTGGTGTTATGTTTAATGTCAGCAAATAGAGCAGAGAAGTTTTGTCCCACCAAAAAATATTGAATGGTTCTAAATACAGTGGTATTATGGTCTCTACAGATTCGATTTAACTAATGATTATTGTCTATCGTATGTTGTGTTTTATGTACGAGAAGAGTTGATGTCTAAACCTAGTAATATACAGAGTGATATATACAGTGTTGGGAAGTACCCTTGTTGACAATCGTCAGATTACTAGTATCAGGGACATGGGGAGGGGGGCAGTACACATGGTATAACCTGAAAACGTCATAACTTGTTGTGATCCACTCTTTACGTCTTTATGGATTAAAAACTGAATCCTGGACGCCTCAGGGCCGGAACAGTGTTTATGAAGATCCAATGCTGTAAGGTATCCTTGTACTATATCCTGTCACAGTATCCAAACTTCAATCATGTGTACTTCTACCTAAGGAAGAAGTATACAAGAGGCTCGGATGTTGTAGAGTAGAGAACGGAAGGAATAAGATGTTATGACCTCCTTAAAGTCCAGCAGCACGATTTAAGACTGAAGTAAGTCAGTTCTGATCGTTGGCAAGCCTTCAGAATGCCTTCCGGGTGCGAAGTAATCCTCCCAACCTATGTAAACGCATGTACAGTCTGTTGTATAAACTTTACGTCGCTGGGAAAACAAACATGGTTGTTCGATGTTCGCTCCCCGATGACAGACCGTTGCCCAGACTGCCTGAGCGCTCCGTGTGGGTGTCTGTGCGGATTTGAAGCTTAGAAGTAACGTTTCATTGAGTAAGTAAACTTTAAACATGGTAAGCCATCTGTGGGTCGTTGTGGGAGGGGGTAAGGACCATGTGGTTCGTGTTGGGGGAAGGGCGAATACTAAACCAAATGTTGAAGAAACTGTTGTTTGAAGGTCGGCCAAAGCAGCAGCGTGGATGGCCCGAAGGGTGCTGTTATCACAGGCGGCGGCCTGCTTCTAATTTCTGTGTTGTTTTCTCCTCAAAAACTTGAGTTGAACTGGTCTGGTGAGACACAGTCGCTAATTTCGCCAATCAGACGCCTTGTCATTTCAACAGAACCTTGATCATGCACCGATGTACTATCATAAAACAAACCAAACAAACATGAAGTTGTAATGAAAAGTTCAGTTACCAATAGCGTGATGGTGTTTTAGCCATCGAAGAGAGTACGAAAACAACTTTGGCAGCATAGCTACCTCGCCAAAGACTGTAAAATAAATATATCTCGTCTGTTGAACACAGCCTAAAGTAGAATACAGCCGTAGTAGAAAAACCTTTTCGGGAATACCTGAACAGAAGTAGCCTCTACCAGGAACCCCGGATCGCTGGAAAAATAGTAGAAATTGGCCAAAACAAAGGGAATAGTATACCAGGAGAGTTAGCCGGCCAGAGAGGGTACGTTTGCGAGGTGCGGCAAAATGTAGCAGACCAACTCCCTCGGCATGTTATCTCTCTATTTGGCCAATTTCTACTCCTTCCAGCCTCCTCCCGAAGCCATGGTAGAGGCTAGAGCTGAGGAACATGTAGGAGATGACCAGACAGCCCCCCACAGGGAGACATGGTACTTCCCCGTCCATTACATACTCCCTACTGAGCCGACAGGTTCTTATAAAAACTTTCTCAGAGCAAAACAGACCAAAACAGTCTGGGCTTGAGAACATCATAATTCATATAGAAACAACGGCAACAGGTTTAAATTTTCCATGGGAAGTAGAGTTTGTTGATAAAGAAACTTGGCAAGACATAATCTTCATATGCTAGCATTTTGTTCAAATTTACGAATATGCGACACACACAAAGCTGGCAGCTTAAACTGAGCTTAGACTGTGGATCAGTAAAGCCACTGTCTGGGGGCTTAAATCTCAAGTCAATCAAATATAGATTTAGCAGTCTTATCTCGAGTCGTCTAACTTTCATCAAAGTATGTCGGAAGCCACACCAGGGCCTGATTTAGCGCTCCCTTTCTTCTGTAGTAGCGGAAGTTTACTCCGACTAACAACACCCACACAGTGTTTATAAACTCTAATTCAGAAAAGACTGTTCTGTAACTGTTTGTGATGGAGTATACGACGCAATAATAAGATGCTAAAATGGTGGCAGTTTCCGTGGAATAACGACGCTCGTTTGTTTGTGTTCCAGCCGCGGACAGCAGGGCTATTGCCCGCCCGAGCCCCGGGCTGACACACGCTCCTCATTAGCTTAATTCGGCGGGTTTGGAAGCGATTTGGCCCGAAGTGGAACCACATGCGGCGCCGATGACCTTCGCGATGAGTTACTAGGCTGCGCGGAAGGACTTGTCAGCCTGTCCGCTCCCGCTCCCGAGACAGATCGCTATCAGCATCGCTGCCGACGGAGGTCTCGTCCGAGGGCCGGCGGGGACGGGCACGCTCGGGTCCGGGGTTTGGAAAGTTCATCCGAGGGGCAAGTCATCGACTGACACCGACATGTGTCCTCTTTTGTAGGGCGTGAGACAAAATTGAAAATACACGGTGTGCCATATCAACTGCAAAACATCTACCTGTACAACGTCATGTTTCCTATGATAGCGTTAGAATTAAAACTCTTGAAGTGACAACTTTTTAAGAAATGCCTCAGCACTCCATCTAGGGTTGGAGATGTGGCTGTCACCAGTTCTTGTTGTATATACACAAGCTCGACAAGATAAGAGAGTAATTATGGAAACCGCGACTTCCCTGGCCCTCACAAGCTTTAAGATGACACTTATTATCACAACACTGTTGTATTTAACTTAAGAAAGACTGATACAAGATTGAGGCCTCTATCAAACGTCAGGAAAATACATCAGTTATGTCAGAAATAAATATGAATTGATACAGGGACCAGAATGCCCTTTCCAATGACGCCATACAGGTTAACTTGAAAGCGGTGGACTTTCAACAAACTAGTTACGAAATGAACCAAAGTTAAGTTCTAGTTTGAAGCCACTATGTACTAGCCTGGTTAACAAAGTTACTTTAGTTGCCGAGTCTCTTTTGTCCTCTCCACTATTTGCGGCCAAAATATGTTGCTATAAAACCATGGATTGTTGTAAAGAAGAAGACTAGCCTGGTTACCAGACCTATCTGGAGGTTTTATCTTTCTTGGACAGGATAAAGGCTCGATAGCTTAAATAGGTCTGGTAACCAGGCTAGGCTAGAAGAAGACCCACCGTTGCTGCCTGTATGTTTGACGTCACACCTGTCTCCGAAGTGATGTAACGTCTCCACACAGAAGGCGTCAGGACTGTGGTCGGACTGGGGGATAGAAGGAAATAAGATTAGGTGAAAAACAATAAACAATGCGATATATCTACTATTATCTAACCTGTTGTAAGTTGTTATATTACATGAGCAAGGCAGCAATGAGTTATAATGTAGACTATAGCGTAAGCTACAACTTCCCCCCAATGCGGCGTCGATCCCTTAATAGCCTCTACCAGGCTTCGGGAGGCAGTTGGAAAGAGTAGAAATAGGCCAAATAGAGAGATAACATACCAGAGGAAGTTGGTCAGCTAGAGAGTACAGTTTCCCGCACCCATTTCTGTATGTTATCTCTCTATTTGACCAATTTCTACTCTTTCCAGCCGCATCCAGAAGCCTGGTAGAGGCTATCCCTCAGATCACCGTGCTTAGATCCTAAAAGTTAGTTAGGACATCCATGATGAAAAAAGTTTAAAGATGCTCGATCGAATAACAGTCTATTTCCATGTAGGGACAATCGTCAGACACAGCATCCAGTGTCCATATCACCTATAGTGTGGATTTATTCTAGTCATGTATGTCACACATTTGTGTTATATTAATTGTAATGACCTACATAATTAAGACTACCTGACCAACGGGACCAAACCGTAACATTACCTGTATTCTGTAACACATCCAGTTGGTCTTACTCTTGTTACAGTAGCGTACTGTTCTTCATGTTTGTAGCTATGCCATACACGAAATATGCAACGATGCAACATAAACATTCATATGAATCGTAGATACTTCAGTATAGCCCTGTCCCTTAATTTTCTTCTGTTTTGTCTCTCAATTTTCGTCCACTTTAATTCTATAATTATAGGATTTTTCGTCAATGCTCAACAAGTGGTTTTGACCCATAGTCTGATCTTACAGGAGTTAATTCTTTACATTTCTTTACAATTGATTGTTCCTTGGTAAATCATAGAATAATAAGAATATTCAAGTCTTCTTGTAGACCACTATGTTATATTTCTGAGGAAGGTACCTGGAAAGTTAGGAGGTAAAATATTACAAGAAACCCCAATACCCTATTATTATCTTTACCTCCAATATCCTATCACGTTACCAGTAGTTCTTGTGATAGTGTATCGCCTGTATGTTTGCGTAGCTTTGTACCTGTTCCCACTAGACGATAGGGCCTGTACTACCGTTCCCAGTTCGGCCTGAAGAAAGCATACTTCCCAGGCCAACTTTTGTTGCGTCGGGCTGGCAAAAGGAAGTGGCGGTCTCTGAGGAGATCACCTGGGAATCGAACCCTACACTCCCAGCCCACGGACATGTGGTTCTAGTTATTCTGCTGTAACAAACTTGGCGAGTAGGGTTTGACCTCTCCGTTTCGGGTGAGCGGTGTTCTGAGAGAGTGAGAAAAGCTTTGTTTGGGATCATCTCTGCTCTGTTTTCCCGCTAAACTCTAGGCTGAACCGCCTCTAGTGGCGAATGTTTGGTCGGTCTGGAACTAGGAAAATATACAACTGCATGATATGTAGGACTTTCCTATAAAAAGTTGGGAATTAAATAATATTAAAGAAGAAACAGTTTACTCTTGAGTATGAAAACTTGGACCCTGTAAGACCAACGTTTACATAATATATGTACCGTTACGAGTTCTCAAATTGGAGCAGTATTTATATACAAAAACGATAAGATAAGCGTTATAGTATCTGCGCACTGAATAGCTTTCCATTCAAGCTAAACCTTCAAGAAGAGAGATTACATATTGGGCTCAGGATTATACATGTTATAATATACTGGTATTGAAAATTGAAAACAACCTGTGAGATTAATGTTGCAGACAATAGGGAAGTTGTTATTAGACAAGTGATAACTCTTGCGGTGTCCCACCCACACTTAGGACAACTGATAGGACTCGACTACACGGTCTGCGAACTGTTTACATGATTTAAGTTCAACTTATCACGACTCAAACTACTATTGCTACTACTGTCAAATCCCTGAAATACTCAGCAAGACCATCTGCCGACAAGAAGACGACCTAAACACGACTGTTACACGACAGACTCACCATCCCTTCCGAACACGACCCTGTGCTCGCCCCGTCGCTGTCGTCCTCCGCGTGTCGTCTGTTGTTGTTGTTTCCCTTCTTGTGGTTCTCCTTCGCTCCGCGTAACAAGTTCTCCAGACTCTCTATGTACGTGATGGCGTTCCGTAAGATCTCCACTTTGGGCAGCCTCTGGTTGGGATTCGTGCATGTTCTCCTCTTCAGAACCTCGAACGCTTCGTTCACTTTCCTCAGCCGGCGTCTCTCTCTCATAGTCGCGGCTTTCCGCCGGTCTACGGTCACGGATTTCCTCTTACAGGCCTTACATGCCCAGAGGAGGCAGCGGCGCGGGGAGTGGAAGGCACCGGGCGCCAGGACGTGCTCCACTTGTTCGTCCGAGTCGTCCAGAGGTGAGGCGGGGATCGGGAGGTGGTCGCCCGACAGGTTAGCCGCCGACCCACAGTCGTAGAACGTCGTGGCAGTGTCGTAGCGACAGCTACTCCTCTCCAGCACTGCCATCTCGCAACGTAAAACAACACTGAATTCCCCTTAGTTGTTCGCAACTGCACCTTTGGTAGAGAAAAGGCGCTAGAGACTTGACACCACTCTGTGTGTCTATGAGAACAACTCCCAAACTTTGACAGTCACAGTCTATCGGTAACCAGTGGCCCGGCGACTTGATGCAGTAACCCGATCTCCTCGTTGTCCACTCAGAGTTCAGAGACGAAACGTTTGACAATCAATCCTGCATGTTCATCACCAGTCAACGTGCCCGATTTGTCTCAAAGTCACGCCTCCTGGCGGTTGCCTCATGAATATTCATCAGATAAAACTTCACAGGACCTAAGGATGACGACATGTCGTACCTTATCGAAGAACCCTCGATGGGAGAAACGTTCGGACTTCTTATTTTGGTCACAGGCCAGAAGGGCTGCGGGGTATGTGTGGGCTTATTTCCATGTTGGGTGTGCTCAGAACCTCCAACCCCCGGACTCCTGTCAACTCGGGACGGATTATCGTAGCTTTCCCAAGCCCCTGTGTAAGGTGGCAGCATTCCTCTTCTCCCTCTGCTCTGATACAGTCTGATAGTACTGAACTATCACTACCAGTCACTGTGGCACACCCCATGCGGACAGAATAGGGCGAACCAGTTGTCCTATTAAAGATTAGAAATATTAATCATAAATTCTCTGGCAAACATGATATGGTAAATGGGTTTGTGGAAAAACAGGACGCATATAAATTGCGAGTCGACGCGTTATGGATTCGACCTATATCTACATTCCTATGTCTATCAACCAAGGCCTATCTCTGAGGTTACTGACCCTGACTACAGCATGTCCTAGTTTGTTTTTCTTCACTATGACTAATGCAAAACATTCAGTTGTAGAGCGACAAAGCGAACAATAACTTACACATTGTTTACATGTATATAATAGGACGTCGTGGCCAGAAAGCTAAAAAAAAAAGAATAAAACAACAACAACAAAAACAGAGAAAACCTGTAGAACATTTGTATCCCTCTGTCTTTTCTTTCAGCACTTTGTGTGCCAAATGTTACACCACAGTATTAGAAAACCAGACGTAAAATGTTTTCAAGAGCAACAAAACCACAACAGAACTACTATCTATTAGCCAGATAGTTGGTCCCTTGGTTGGCGAATATATCTTCTTTCTGACGTTATGTCCTCAGCAATTAATTCATTCGTCATACGTAATTAACACTGGGAAACTAAAGAACTAACATATCATAAGGAATACAAAAAGGCAACAAAACAATGAGAAAACGAAGATCACATTGCAAACAAAATAGTGAAGTTTGCGAGGTCAAAGGGACAGTATTTATCGAATTTATTCCACAGAAGAAATCGCCAATTAAGACTTTCGGGTTGCCAAACATGAGTTGGTCCCAGGTGACAGCACTTCTGATGCCCCGCCCATCAAACTCACTTTTCCCAGGGACCTTTGCTCTGGCACAGTGGGAGGGGGGCAGACCCGTCTGGAGATCTCACTACAGAACCGTTCGTAAACACATTTGGTAAAGTCGTGGTGGGAAATAGCTTACTCTACTTTTCCCTCAAGCAGCGGCCACCTCTAAAAACGGCAGGGTGCAGAGAAGCTACCTTTTCGGTCGATGCAGCTGGTTTTTCAGCTAAAACATGTGCGAAGAGTAAGTAGCGGAACATCTGAAGGATTCAACTTGTGAATACAAGTTCAGGGTATATCTATAAGTTTATTCTTTCACGACTGTGTGTCCGTGTGTGTGTGTGTGTGTGTGTGTGTGTGTGTGTGTGTGTGTGTGTGTGTGTGTGCGTGTGATGTGTGTGTATGTGTGTGTGTGTGATGTGTGTGTGTTTGTGTGTGTGTGCAGTTTTTTGGTGAAAAGATAGTTGATGACAACCAAGTTTGTACGCACAATGTATTAGCCTAGGCATTAGACACAATGCATAATGATGAAGTATACGTAGTAATAAAATTTTCCATATAACGATGTATACGTGGTACACGTACGTACTTTTAGCAATAGCAAGACAGCCCAAAACCATGCATGTTTTCTCACTCGTCGTAAGAAGGTATAGAGTGACAAATCAGGATTAATTTAAACAAGGAAAGAGTTGTTCCGTGAATACGATCTCTTCCCTCTCTGACATGAAACCATTACATGCTGTATTAGATGCTTCCTTCGGTAAATAATGGGAGCATTCTCCCAGTCAACACGCGCCACACATGAGTGAAAATGTCGTTCTGTGCCACTTCTTACCTTCAATGCCTCCAATTAATGGTAGAAAGGGAAGTCTTTGAGCAGTAAAGTATTCAGAGTCATATTTCTTTTCGCAGCGAGATCGAATATTAGAAAATTAGATAATGATGATAAAAGTCCTTTATTGTACAGTTATGCTGTCACAAGCTAAGTACAGATCATTTATAAAGCACTATACAAAATTATTGGGATATATGTCACTACACGTAATAATGTGTAATGTACATCTTATTTCTGTATACATTTTGTTTTATATTTTTAAACTATTAATTTAAATTCAAAGACATGAGCATTTTCGTTTGGTGATCCAATAACTTTAAAAACCGTACATATGATAACTGTATCAAAGTAACATCTCTTGCTTATACTATAGCGACCTCAGATCGTTGTATCTAGGGTACTAGGTCGCGTGTGTAGTGGTTTAGGGTTCTAATCCCTTGAGGGCTATCCCGGTGTCCCTAGGACTGGTCAGCTGAGAAAATACGCCGGACATTCACCGACGGACGATCTCTTCAGCAGACTGGAGCTGGACTTTTACATGCCGCAAATTTCCTGCATTTCTAAACAAGAAAGAAAAAGAAGACAATAATAGAACTGGGGGAAAAACAAACACGGTTTGTTTTGGTCGATGGGGTTGTTGAATGGCCCTCTTGTTTTTTTTACCCAAGGGTGTATAAGTTAAGCGTACATGTATTTTGTAGCCGTTTTTATGTATAGCGAGTGCAAGGAGCCGCGTTACAAAAAGGATGACATACAGTCTATTGTAAGCACTTAAAAAAGATTAAAACGCTGAGTTTTATTGTATTATCCAAGAGAAATATGTATGTACGAGTACTTTCTGAAATTTGGAAGGGAGGAAGAAAAAAAATGATATATGCATCAGGCAAAAAAATGAATTGTCGCTTTGCCATGGCGTCTTTGAATTTTCTCTTGTTTTCTACCCATCTGGGAAAGGGGTAAGATTATGAAAGAGACTGCAACACATAATATACTAATTTTGATTTATTTTCTGGTATAATCTATGCCTTACGTCTCCTAACCGCTCTCAGCGGGACATTCCAGCCACATTCTTGTCTCATAATTGAAAATAAATGAGTGACGTTCTCGCTGCGCGGAACTCGCGGTATTCGCGCCGCTCTTTCAACCCGGCCGCTCTGATGAGTGAAAACAACCCTCTGATTACAAATGTACACACACAGCCAGAATTAAAGCCGCATTGTGTAACATTAGGACGATACAAGAAGTCAATTTTATGGTTATAACTACGGTAGGTTGAATCAACCCTACCCCATTGCAAGTGCCATTCAGGAACTTCGGTGGATATGCTAATATATGACGAATTATGAGGATATCTAAAAGCTTGAAACATCGCTGTCAGCCATGTTTGTTTACATTCTAGTATTTTGTGATGGTACCATAAACTGAGCGTGCCTCACGTGGGCTTCCTGATTTCTTCATTTCTTCCATCGTAACATATCATAATATTATATCACTAGTAAGACAAAACAGAACTTTATAAACGCTAACTTGGTCAAGGACTTTTCTGTATCAAGCCGACTTGTGACAGTCCTGGATTAACATATGACCCAGCTATTTTTCGTCACATTGTTGATCAAAGTTTTTCTGCACTTCATTTCTTATGTTTCTAATTGACGTTTGCCCTAGCTGTGAGACAAAGTATCTTTCAATATTAGTGAGCTAGTCACCCATATAATGTGAGGTAAATTCAGCGTTCAGAAGTGTTTACTGGTAAATAGATATCATGCAAGAAAGGCACAAGTTTCAAATAGAATCTTATTGTTTCCTATTCAGTTTGCGTTTTACACATTTCAACAATAAAACGTGCTCTATATATTTCAGATGTTTACTTGTCCCACGTGTCGTAGATATCACTGAATTTTGAGAATTTGAGGTTCTTAAAAAATGAAACTGTTGAGAGATCAGAAGTGTATGTTTCACCCTTCGTTCGGATTCAGAACTTTCAAACTAAATCTCTGACACTGCCAAACACTGCCCAAACGTCCAGAAGTTGAAGAATGTGTGTTTCTTGCAAAATTAAACTGTTAAGAGATCAGAAAAGTGTGTTTCTCCTTTCTTTGTGATTCAGAACTCCTTAACTACACCTCTGACACTGCCAAAAACGTTATAGTTGAAGTTGGAGAATTTGTAAAATGAAAGCATTGAAACTGTTGAGAGATCAGAAGTGTGTGTTTCTCCTTCTTTGTGATTCAGAACTCCAAAACTACACCTCTGTCACTGTCAAAGACTCAAACACTGCCAAAACGTCCAGTTGAAGTGTTGAACAAGCCCCATATTGCCATTTGTACGGCGTCCAAGCCCAGCATCCAGGCGACATCTGTCCTTCTAATTGTTACATTTCAGGCATCGCTTACCCCGGGTCGTGTGGACGGACGCGAGAACTCCCATCACCCCCTGCGCGCCGCGCGTGTCGCGATGTCATTATTTACGACACTTTACCTCGCGCTGCCGTAAACTGACACCGTTTGAAGTGTCTTTAAATTTCTGTTGCCAACATAGAAAGGGTGGTTGGAGGCAATCTTTTGTGTCGACACTTCGCTTCAGAAAGGGAACCCAATCTACTAGGCTGTTGGAACACGGAGCCTATTATAACAGGTCTGAGGTGGCGAGTAACAAGGCCCAAGCCGATTGAAATGTTACTAAGTTTATAGAATTTGAGGCTGGCAAGCCGGAGCGTTTGAAAGCTCTGCCCTGGGGTCTGGGTTAAGATGAAGTGTACGCCGTCACAGCGGGTTAGCATCGCTAACGTTTGCCAGGTTCTTGTCCTTGAATGGTTATTGACAGGGTCATCCTGTCATCCTGTCAATAACAGAACATTTTGCATTATTGACAGGATCAAATACCCTTAGTCCCATATTAAAGGCACCCAATGCAATTTCAGGACCACAAAACTGGATTTTCAAAGTCTGTTTTCTCGTCTTTTTTTAATGTAGTATTGAATCAACACTATCCCATGGCAATCTCATATGTGTGAGCCCAAAATGCGATGTCGCGAAAAAAAAGGTTGCTTGTTTTGGGTCGTAGGCTGGTTCTAGCTATTTATGGGTGGTACCCAAAAAATTAAGAGACGCCTCGCGTAGCGTGTTTCGGTGCTATTCCAAACGCTTAAATTTGAAATGATGACGAAAATGTGCTACGAAATGGTGGTAAATGTCAATATCAGACAGATGTAGAATACTAGTATTTCTAAAATTCCATTAGATGTCTTTAAAGTCGGTTTTGCCCCCCCCCCCCACCACTCCAACACACACACACACACACACACACACACACACACACACACACACACACACACACACACACACACACACACACACACACATCATTCTATTTGTTCTGTTGATGTACAAACGTGCCTTCAGATTGTGATATGGCAGTGCTGCATAAACAGAAGTATGACGGACATATGATTGATGTATGGAGACCACGCCCCCTGTGAGGGGAGACGTGCGTGATAAATCGGACCTGTCTCACAAAGTCACGATCAGGGGCGGTCAGCTGACATACCGGCACGGCAGAAGGACATAGTTTTATGACAGCCCTGTGGATGCATTGTTCTGAGCAAGGTCCTTGTTCTGAGGCACCCAAAATAATATCTAGCTTTGAAGGCACCAAGAATAATGCCTAGCTAGAGAGACAATTTGACTCTGAACTGAACAAAGCGCAAACCAGTACCAAGGGACCAAGTCTACCGATATATTAGACGTTAAAATAATGATATTGATTTTTTTTGCGCAAATACTTTATTTTCAAACAATTTCAACCTTTTTAAGTAATTATTGGGTGGCTAATTTTGTGAAAAAGTACATTCTTGAAATGAAAAAAGGGAAATAACTGTTTTATACTATATTGTAGTATTGATATATTGGTATCAATGTACACATGACGGAACAATGGTGCTTATTGTTCTCTGTTACGGTTACGGTCTTAGTTAGATATTTTAATACCTCCACCTTTAGAGCGGAAACCGTTTTCCCAGAGCCACCCCCACCACCCACGTGCCGACACCTCGGTCTCAGGACCACAACCTGCGTACAGGAACAATCAGGAAAATTTACAGGCAGCTCCCGGTGTTCAGCCAAATCCTTGAGCTGCCACATACGTGTGAGGTCAGGTCTTTAGGGCTACGGTTAGGGTTAGGGTTGGTATACTTGCCAATAGCCATAGAAATTTATCTCCATGCAGATCATACAGTGGCCAGGTATTGGCCAGAGGAGGGTCCATACGCCACCCAAGGGTGGACCTGGCCAATTTGTACTGTCTTTTGCCACCATAGGATCTGCTTGGAGATAAGCAATTTCAAGGCAGCTCCCGATCAGGTATCCTTGCCAATAGCCCTAGAAATTGCATGCGAGCACCCCGGCATGACGAATCGTGTCCCTCTCGCCGGGCAGGCGGTGTGATTACCCCGGTCCCGCCGGGCGCCTGCACGTCTGGCCCCGGACGTGTTCTCTCACTACAGCCCGCTCAGGACCTGATGACTTTCACAGGCACCAACCTTTCACCCCACCTGTCCACATCCTTTTGACCCCTGTTCTTTCATCCTTCGCTATATGAAATAGGCACCAAACACACGCAAAAACATCTTCTGTTGAGGCATCGCAAGTTACAAAGAACGTAGACGAACATGCAACCTGTTTGAATAACTTTTAGTAGTTTTATACAGGCAATAAACTTCTGGAGGCAATGCCTTGCTTAATTGCTAAACGGTTTCTCTCTTTCTCTCTCTTTCTGAGTCTCTGTTTCTCTACCTGTCTCTCACCCCACCTTTCTCTCCTTCAGTCACTCGTTCATTGTCTGTCTCTTTAGTTAACATTCCGATGCTGTATAGAGGTCCACAGGAGAGAAGGGAGGAGTCGCGAAAGTACATCACTTGCCAACATAAACAAGTGTATCTGCTGTTAGGTCCCGGTGGAGAAGTTTTCTGTCCTGTTCAGAGAAGATTGACTGTCTAAGCAGATGCTGCCCTGTTCTTTTTACTCTCCAAGCAGAGGTTTGGGCTTTGGCTTATTTTGACGTGTTTTAGGCGTTTTTATCGACTTTTCTTTTTTTGTACTGGTACATTTGTGTATACCAGCCTTCGCCTTCGGCTGTCAAATGGATAATGCCTGGTCTATTTGATACTGCCTTTGCAGCCACCGAAATATCTGCTTGGAAATTAATCAAAACGCAGTTCTGTGTTTAGTGAGGAGAACCTGTCTCGCACAGAGCTTGAGTTAGTGAATTGTTTGCACTTTCGAGAAATAATTAATAGGCATTGTATGTCAGATTTGATATTGTGGCATCATATACTTTCTTCCACATACACCCACTTTAATATACTGTCACATCAGACACCTCAGTCCCCAATGCCCATAGCCGAAAACTTTTTTCGGCCTGGAAATCCTAAAGTTGTATTACGGTCATTGATTTGGGTATAGATATGAGGAAATTGTTGCATACATGACTTAATGAGCCCCGTTTCTCTCTGATTAAATATAGGTACTTTTGTTACGGAAAAGCGAAGGGCTAGCGCTATTTGAAACTTGGTATTGACAACGCAAACCTAAAAGCTCCACAGCCCCCCTCCCCACCAATAAATAATTTTCCCCGTCAACATTCATAACCTTGTACCTAGATGATCCTACAGCCTACAGCAAGTGTCATGGGCACTTTGGTTGAGGATGTGTTTGATAAATTTGTCCTGACGTGGCCGGAAGCCCAGAGGAAGGGGATCGCTTGACACCGGATCTGCAATTTCCACCTCGCCCGCCGGGTATAGGGGGCGTTCTTGCCCGAAGTCAAACCTTGTCAGGACGATGTACTAGACTCATCAATTCGACAGTCATTGCACTCAAGACAGGAACTTCCTTGTCTTGAAATACCGATAAGGTGGTGTCTTCAGAAGAGACGCCTTGTTTAACACCGGCTACAAGAGATGCATTGTTTTTGGAAGGGGGGGGGGCGAAGCGTAAATCTCATCTAGAGGAAACGTCACGTGTCTCTGGGTAAAATTACTGTTGCTATTGAGAGACGGTAATAATGTGAGAAAATTGATTGGGACTGAAAAAACGCACTTATACTAATTGATAAATGACACCCAAACGTGTTCCGTTATATCAATATATTTTGTAAAAAAAAGCTGCATTTTACAATTTGGTCATAAATGTCTTCCATTATGTCTATACAATATTTACAAACATCTGTGTTCATGATAGTCTACAAAGAATAACATGCCCTCTGGGCTATCTAAGTTTTGCAACTAAGAACCTTATGACATGACAATGCTATGGTGTATGACAATTACATTCTTTGTCTTTTTGTCAAGTACAAGTACAAATACTATTTGGTCCATTGAAAATATCAATTTCAATATACATATATATACATATAAACAAATCTCAGGTTTGAATATGATTTTAACATGGTGTCCCTATCTCTGTTGGTTGTAGAGTTGGTGCGAATCGTCGCCTGCGAATGCGGAGATGTTCTGTACCACCAGAGAGAGGCTGTCCAGGCAGGAGGCGGAGTTCCACTGTGAGGTGACGTCACAACCTGATGGGCAGAAAAGTACGTTACGATTAGACGTGATACATACAGGTACGTACAATCATAAAAGTTCATCTGTGTTGGTAGTTACATCAGGGTCCATCACCCTTCACTGAACCGCGACGGGGCCGGCATCGACTTCCAGATGCCTTTGACCCAGTGTTGACGTCACACTTAAAGAAAGCCACGTGAAAAGCCTCACTTGGTCAGTCTACAGAGTGACTGGTCGAAAGCTCTAGGTGAGAGAACCTTCTGTGTTGGATCGAAAGTTTTAACTTTAAACAGGTACATACAAGTATCATTCGAAATTGATAATTAGAACTTCTTAGATGCATCATACTTACAGACATAAATCCGTTTGATGTTCTTATACACTACTCAAAACTTTGTGTTGTGTGTGCGTATTTTCCTGAAGCATTTTCATGGAGACAATTTTAAAAATTCATTCAAGAAAGAAATATGAAAACTAAAGGACTCACCATCAAATGACGCCATGTTCTCTTCCCCGTGCAAGTTCCCGGATGTATCTGACCACACACTCCCGGGACTGTTCGCAGTCTGGAAGAAAAATTAAAAAATCATAAGTTCCATATCGTCTTTTCTTTCCAAATATATTAAACCGGAGAAAATAAGGCCGATGGTAAAGTAATCAATTAAAGGTACCATGCAATATTGTTGGAAATGCTGTCCTTCAATACCCCAATACAAGAACATCTTGGCATTGAGACAAGAGTCACACGCACACGTGTATCTATAATCTATCCGGAAGATCGTTTCCAAGAACAAGAATCAAGAATGGTTGTGAAAAAGCCTTTTTTGTACCCAAATATCAAGAGGACATGCACAAACTATCGCAGTGAAAGCAGGACTTCGTAATTGCAGGATATGCCTCTGTGCATCATGATGTACAGATATAACGGGGTGGCGATATGATAGCGGTACGTATTGTTTTGATAACATACATCTCAAACCCACACCTCTCACAATACTAGTCAATAGAGTAGCCCCCCTCTTTAAAACATATTATTGTGGCCGGCTGTTAGTTTTTGCAAAAAAAATCATGTTTTCTCACCATTCCGTCGGAGCAGGCCCCGGGGCTGGCTGCGGGGGAGTCGGCGCTCTGTCCCGCCGAGTTCTCCTGACCGTCCCGTAGAGTTTGGTGCAGCTGCTCGATGTAGGCGATGGCGTTCCGGAGGATGTCCACCTTGGGTGTCTTCTGGCTCGGCTTCATGTGCGTCTTTCTCTTCAGCACCTCGAACGCCTCGTTCACCTTGACGAGCCGCCTTCTCTCCCTCATGGTGGCGGCCTTCCTCCTGTCCTGTCGGGACGCCTTCCTGCTCCGACACGTCTTACAGGCCCACATCAGGCAGCGCCCAGGCCCGTGAGCAGACGCCGGCGGGACCGGGACGTGCCCGGTCGCTTCACCGTAGCCTCCGTACGGTTCCATCGGGGCGGGGACCTGCAGGCTGCCGAACATGTCCTGCCCTTGGTCCGCTGCTTGTTGGTAGGACGTGTCGAACTGGAACCGACAGCTGCTCAGCTCTGTGTAGTTCATCTTGAAGAAAGTGTGGAAGATCAGACGAAGTGTTGTCAACAAGAGTCCACGTGTGAGTTTAAAGGAGGGCAGGTCTGGCTTTATATCCGTAATCCTCACCAGGGGATTCCTCAGGCTCCTCCTTACAAGGTGTTGAATATTCATGAGGTGTGAAGTCGGACGGCGGTGTTCCCGCTGGACAGCCGATCGGACGGCAAAGCTGGCCCGGTAGGACATCGTTCCCCCGCCGGTAGGGGAAAATCGCTTCGTAAGAGACCAAAACCGACTTGGGTGGCAATATAAGGAAGAAAGAACACACCGACGAAAATGCCCATGAGCTACAAGACGGCTCCAAAACGTTTGAGATGGTGTCTTACTTTTTTTGCGTAAGATGAAGTTAAAAATACAAAGGGAATCAAGATGTAAGAAACCTACAAGACTAGCGCACGGATACGGATACAATGTATTACGGGTCAATATACGCTGCACAGGTGCATATGCTAAAAAAACACACACATAATAGAAATGATATATTGTATTTTTAACCCACTTCCTTTTATTAAGGACGTTTCGACAATGCATACTAGTAAATAAAAGAGTCAATGCCTACAATATTGAACATTGCACATTGTTACAAGTACAGGCTATGGCTACACTTAACAAGTACTATACAAGGTCATAAGAACATAAAATATACCTATATTAGATATCCTGAAAGATATTTTTGTTTTCTCATGCGCAATTGTTCGCACGGGTTTGGATACTACCCAGTACTTACACAAATAGCAATCTTGAAAGAAAAACGTACACATTTTGTGTCATCTTGAAATCACATCTTCCGTCACTCCTCTGTTTGGTCGATTTAAACTCTTTCCAGCCGCCTCCCGAAGCCTGGTAGAGGCTAGCAAATGGTAACAGTCTGGCAAATGGGAACTGCATTGCTAATTTCATACTGTCTTTGCAGCCACCGAAAGATCTGCTTGGAGATTATATTTTGAAAACATAAACCTACCCGCCACTATCAATTGACGTGCTACAAGCTTTCTCTACAGGAGAATGTAGATAATTTTCAGCATGTTGAAATCACATCTTCCCCCCGTCCTGTCGTGAGCAAAGTGAGAACACGTCACGGGTCCTGCACATGAAAGGAGCGGGGCTTCTGTACTGCGGCTTGTGCGTGTGGAGGGGAGGGGCACGGCAAGAGTCTACTCCAAGACATCTTGTCCCTATTAAGGAGCAGTACTTTAAGACCAGATTACTTCAAGACCATTCTAGCTAGCCATAGATGAGACCGTGCAGTTAGAATCATCTGTTTCTAAAACTCCGAATCCTCCACAGAAAGTTATTTAGAAACCGGTGAACTTGGTAGCTCGATCAAAGAATGAAGGCTTATACTGTTATAGCGAGTCGGTATTAGCGACACCTTGCGATGTTGCTTTGAATCGCATTGAGATTGTCCTTCCGGGCTGGACATAGCAAATGTTCTTCCGGGCTCAAAAGTCATTTCAAGAGAGTTACTAGGCAATGTTTAATAAAAAAATAAAATCGAATATTGAGCTTTTAAACACACAACATACGATGGACAAAATAGCCACTGTGTAGACTTTTTATAGCAGTTTAGCTAAGAGTCTGAACCAATGTATTCGTAAAGTTAACGCATATACTTTACCCCCCCCCCCCACCCCCGAATAGGCATCTACTGCAAGTAGAATTGTTCAGTTTTATAATACTTTCTTGAAAAATATAATTTTACAACATTGGGACTATAAAACCAAAGAGTGTATTTGACCCATCCACGACCCCATACCCCCTCTCACCCCCGGTAAACGGGTGAGTGATGAAAGCATCATCACGCTGAGAGAAGAATTTTCGCCTCTCGCTTCCCGGCTCGAGAGAATTTCCATGTTAAAAGGCTCGCCGGGCGCCGCCATGTCTGTGTCCGGATGTGTTCCCCAGACGGTACGGTCTGCACCTGGACACGACCGGGCTCAATAAAAACTGGCACAGATGTACGCGCCTTTCTGTAATTTTATGACCCTGCAAAATTCTGCTTTTTTCCAACAAAACGCAGCTTTTCAGGGCTTCAAAACTGGATTTTCAAAGTCAATGTCTGCTCATTCTTTGAATGTAGTAAGATTAATCTACTATGATGATTCCAAAGACATGCGAGCTCTCAAAACGATCTCTTGATTCATTTTTCAACTTAAAAACTCTGCAGCTGCTTTAAGGATAAAATAAAACATTACAGAAAAGAACATCATCTGTAGATAGTCTTTAAGTAGCGTCTAGTAGCGTCTTAAAGTCATGACTGGTCTCAATAAAAACTTCCCCACATGTACGCGCGTTTCTGTCTTCTGCAATTGCAAAAAGCAGCTTATATCAAATATTTCCACCAACAGGGGTGCCAAAGAAATCATCAGAATTTTACGGAATCCATACGATCCTTACTAGGAAACGTACGAAGTTTACGGAATACATACGATCCATTACTAGAAACATCCCTGTCACGTCTAGTGGAAAAGTAGCTCTTCGAAATTTCGTTCTTAGGGAAGCAGGATTAATATTAATATTAATATTCGAGCAACTTTACGCTAGTAGTGTCAGTATTGACCTGTCATCCATATTTTCATAATTTTGCGCTTGGCGGTCGGTTTGAGTTATCAGACGTCGACAACGACGTGTGAACGACTTTATCTGTTAATCCGGATATTACGGCGCGGCTAGAAGTAGATTCGTGAAGAGGTGACACTTACTTGTAGGCCTAGGGACCCGCGAGAAAAAAAAAGGAAGACAGGTATTATCCACAAAATTGTTAACTGAAGTTTGAGTCCTCTTGAGTCTGAATATGATTCCAGATTCTAAGCTTAGATGAACGCTCAGAGGGTGCGCGTCGGACACGTTGATTTCTCTATCCACATAATTTTTGCCGAATCCTAGCCTCTACCAGGCTTCGGGAAACGGCTGGAAAGAGTAGAAATTGGCCTAGGGTGCGGCAGACTGTTTTTAGGGCGGACCGACTCCTCTGGTATATCATCTGTCAATTTGGCCAATTTCTACTCTTTCCAGTCGCTTCCCGAAGCCTGGTAGAGGCTAGCCAGATCTTACGATTCGCACCCCTGTAGGAAGGCCTGGCGGAGGCCAGCAAAAGTCCTGAATATTCGATGTTCACACAGTGACTAGATTAACTCATTAACCGATTCGCAGATCATTACCAAGGTGTTTTTTCACAGATAAGGGCAGTTAGCGAGTCATCGCTAACCACAGAGCTAACCCATCAAACAATTAGGGATTAGCGACTTACAGCTAGCTACTGTGTGAAGTGTTGTAACGGTGTCATTTACATATCGGCCGCCAGATGACCCGAGGAATTTTCCTGAATATACATGTATTTGTCACAGAGCAACTTTCGTTTTCAATTTCTGTATTTGTATCTGTATATCTGTATATCTGTACAACCGGCTTCGCAGGCACGCGAATTATATATATATTATTAATTATATATCATTGTATATTACACCGAACGATGTTACATTCTTTGCACATTTAAAGAATTGGATAAGAAGTTGTTTAAAGCTTTCTTGCTTTTCTTTTTTATTGTAGCGCTACTCTATTTTTGTTTTGACTCGTTTTATATTTACCTTGTACAGTTTAATCTAAGGTTGTCATTTTAGGGCTTTAGGGTTTGTACAATACACACGTATATTTCTTGCAACGTGTTCTGCAATATTTCATGTGTGGGCCACGACGCCAGCAATAGCTGCCTGTGCCCCACGTGTTTTGTATTGTTACAATTTAAAGCAAATCTAAGTTTATTTGCGGTTTTATTGTATTTCTTTTTTTTCTATTTCATGTGTTTCGTTCATTCAAAACTTCAAATCACCCTTGTATTTGTAGTCTATTGTTGTGGACCTAGGAGTAATTTCTAAGCACTTTTGTTGTGTATTTTGTTTCATAGGTGACGACTGGCCGGCCGTTTGATATCAGAAATACCAAAGGTATGTTTGTGATACTTACTGGCATTTATATTGTTTTTGCCATGTGATGGACATTTCAATGGCGAGCTATCGAGTAATCAAGGGTATTATTCTTAGCGAAATTATAAAGACTCAGTAAATGTGTATTTGACATAATTTATTTGAAAACTTGGTTGTCTCAGATTGAAACATATAAAATTCTATTCACATTCTTATCTACATTTGTACAACATGAAGTTAGTTAAAATTACCGAAATATAAATCTTGTCGTTAAATATTTTAGTCGTATTTACAAAGATTTGTGTTTTGTACATAAGAATTGGAATGACGTCACTGCAACTTCCGGTTATGATTACGTCATTGCAATTTCCGGCTAGGATCACGTTATTTGCAACAATTATAATAATACATAATGAATGAATATCAAAATACTTTTGAAAGACAATGGCCTTGATTAGCCTGTACAGTACTAAAGACGCCATTAACAAGTTCGTGACCTTGAGAGGTGAGGTCATAGGTCGAGGTCATGATCGAATGACGTAATGTTGTCCACAATGGCGGACAGGCTGCCGAGACTGGAGATGCCCGAGTCTGGGGAACCGCAATCTGGGGAGGGAGGGAGGGGAAATTAGTAAAGAACAACAACAAAACAACAACATTACTAATGCTATTTTGTACTAAGTGGTAAGAAGAGCGCATGCTAGGAGCTGGTGCGATTGTCTGAAAAATTGCGTGGTCACATGCGTAGGATTTTGGTGCCGTGGAATTTTCAAGCTGGCTGCTACTAGATTTTTTCCAGCCGCCGACAAGAACATTATACAACCTTTTCCGTATCCAGAATACAGCGGAGTTTTGAAAGATACACGTGCGACAACGTACACAACAGGAATCTTAGAATGCCTTCAGATCACGCGCCTACGGCGTATTTGACCAAAAGCTAGAAAGCAAAAAAAAAAAAAAAAGCATGCAGCCCCCCTCTCCACCCCAAAACATCTCCGGTAGTAGACCATGCAACATCCTACTATAGATTTCCCACAAAGAATGGTTAAACGCAAGACATTATAAAAGCATGCAGTACACGGGTTGTACACATCTTGTACATAAGTTGTACACAACTGGTACACAACTTGTATACGACTTGTACACAACCTGTACACAACCTGTACACAACATGTACACAACTTCTACACAACTTGTACACACCTTCTGTCATGTCGGTGAGCAGACTGGACGCGGCTGTCATCATGTCGTCCCAGGACAAGTCTTCCGTCTCTGCGATCAAACTCAGCGGGCTTTCTACCGACTGTAAGAAAACAGAAAACGTGTGTAAGCTACTGTACTTCTTGGGAAGTTCTAGAGCAGTCTTTTGTTTGTAAGAGTCAATCTCTTCATCATGCTAGAAGCATTAATTTCGCTTAATTTATCTTTCTGGCTTCCGTTTTCGCTAACACGACGGGAGAAAAAAATTAAAGAATATAAAATTCATTACAATAAGAAAAGCGCGCTTCTCGTGGTCTAATTTTAGCGATATTACAACTTTTTGACACTAGTACTTTCCTACAATATCGCTTCTTCAAGATCCGTATATAAGTTCACAATAAAGTGCGACTTTTGCAAGGATCAGTCAAAGTTGGAAAAATTGCAATTGTCCACGATCCAGGAAAAAATAACAATTATGGTAACAATTTATGGAAGGTTTCACACCAATTCGTTCAGCTTTCCAATGTGGGAATCATTTATGAAGTTGCGGTTTGGTGCTAAAGAACGGATCAACCGATTATTAAACTCTAACGCGTGACAGAAAAACTCACTCAGAGGAAATTAACTTGTTTTCTTTCAAACTATCTACAGATAAGATAGACGAATTTGGGCGATTACGGTATCTACCAAACCCCATGTGTTTTGAGTGAAGACTGATACAGTAGATCTCTTCTATCCGGTTTTCAACCGCAAAGGGGATAACGGAAAATAGGCAACATTTGGAAGTGTTTTTCCTGGCTTCCCAATCGGCTAAAGTGGCGTCAAGACGTTTTCGTGAAACAATTGAATGATCTTTCAATCAGCTTTTGAAGTGTTTTACATTTTGTGACAAGGGAAATTAACAGGATACCGTTCGGTTTAAACTGATGTTTCGATTTTATGTTCTTTTATGAGATGAGCATAAAAAGGGCTACAGTTGTAACTTTAGGCTTTTCAAAGATTACCGAAAAGAGGCAATAGCTTCAACTGGCAGTAACCTCCAAGCAGAGGGCTAGGCTTCGACTTATTTTGGCGTGATTTTAGGCATTTTTGTTGGACTTTCTTTCTTGTACTGGTATCTTTTTATGCCAGCCTAACTTCGGGTGGCAAATGGTATCTGTCTGGCAAATGGATACTGTCTGGACAATTTGATACTGTCTTTGCAGCTACCAAGGAGCTTATTGAGAAACCTATAAGCTTCTTGCAGCTACCGAAAGATCTGCTTGAAGATTAAACTGACAGTAGCTTAGTAAAATGTGCTGTAAGTAGTATTAGATAGCAAAATAACTGTTGAACTCACGCTCTGTTCGGAGTAGGATGCCGGACTGCCTGCCTCGCTGTCCAGGTCTGACTCCGACGTGTACGCCTTGGACGTCCCGGCACTGGCTTCTTCAGACGCCTTCAGCAACTTCTTGAGTTCCAAGATGTAGTCTATAGCGTTCCTCAGGATCTCCGTCTTGGTGAGTCGCCGGGTGGAGTTTGGAGACGTCTTCTTCTTGAGGACATCGAAGGCGTCGTTGACCTTGGAGAGGCGCCGTCTTTCTCTCATGGTCGCCGCTTTTCTCTTGTCGACTTTTCCTCGTGACTTGGTTTTACAAGTGTTGCAGGCCCACTGAAGGCATCGTCCGGGCCCGTGGAACTCTGAGCCGCTTCCCGTGGTAACCCCGTGCCCGCCACCGGGGACGGTCAGGCAAGTCGTCGGCAGGACGTGCTGTTGTCCCCGCAGGAAAGTCGCGCTCGGGTCGGTGCTGAAACTGAAGCAGCCGGGAAACGCCATCGTGCTAGCTATCAAAACAAATGTCGGCTTGTTGTGATGTGACTTGGGTCTGTTCCACAGCACGTGTGTACTAACCAAGCAGAACTACTGCTTCTTTTATACCACAAACCTCAGCGGGGCTTCTTCCAGGGTTCCAGGCTCCTCCTTCTAAGACATGAATATGTAAAAGAAGCGGCGGTCCTTAGGAGAATCCTTGCCGCGAAGCTTCAAACGTCTTCTCTACAGGAACTCACCCGTCCTACAGGGATAAGAATGTGTCGGCTCTCTGATACTGTACAAACACAACCTGTGTGTGGTGACACCAAGAGATGTATTCCTCCCCTAGATACAAGGCCATTTACAGCGGGAAGTTGGACGGTCATCGAACCTGTACATACACTATTACTAGCACTAGTTAGTATACTTAAGTAACTTATACAACACTTCACTGAGTATATCATCCTGTGCTTAGATTGTAAGAACATATTAAAATGTACATTTTTCAATCCTTCATTTATTCGTGCCTTAATTAGTTTGAGTCATGCCAAACACAAAACGAATATCATTGTTTTATTGCAAATTCATGCCTGACTGCTAATTGAAAGTACAGAAGAAAAACATTTGGTATAAGAACAGGCGAATTGAAGTACTCGCTAAGAGTTGGAACCTTTTTTATTTATCACAGTTAGAACAATCTTTATCATGCATAATTGTTGCCATATTTTCCCCAGATTTCACACATAATATCGACCGAAATGTCTGAATCAGAAAAACCGATAAAATTTCTGTTACGCACTGACAATTCTAGTAAAAGAGACACACTGTAATGGCATAGAATTGAACGGCAGAAAGTTGGTACATGTACTTTTTTTCTTGTTCAAACTAGACCGTTCAACTTGTTCTTTGCTGCCCTAGTCTCCAAGCAGAGGTTCGGTGTGTTCTTAGGCTTTTTTATAGGTGTTTCTTTTTTGCACTGGAATTTTTTTTCACCCAACCCAAACAAAAAAAATCCAGTGGAAAAAAGAAACCCCAATAAAAAGCTAAAACGCCTAAAATAACCCCAAACCCAAACCTCTGCTTGGGGAGTATTGCTGTCCCGCAGGAGCCATAATTTTTCTCTGTCACGGCTGAGATAAGATCAGCTCGTTTCCTGGTCGATCTGTCCCCATCCTCCCCCCGCCTCATCACGGGGACGTGTGAAGTCTTCACGGCGTGTTGACATGAAAGCTCCGGTCGGCTCAGGGGGTGGGAGGGGGGCATCCTCTGGCCAGCCGCCGGGCTTGGGTATGGGCGTGTCCACATGGGCATGGGCTAGTCTCCACCAGACTTCTTTTGCGGGGTGAATAAATCGTAGAAATCGGCCTAAAAAGGGTATTAATTGGAGCTTAGAACTCTTGCCGGCTACCTTCTCTGGCCAATTAATACCCTTTTTAGGCCGATTTCTACGATTTATTCACCCCGCAAAAGAAGTCTGGTGGAGACTAGGCATGGGCGAATCCTCCAAGTTCTTGCGGAAAGAAGAACTTCGAATTCGAGTCACTGGATCCAATTAGAGAAGAAAATGATCAAAGAATGCTGTAAACGGAATTCAAGAAGTCCAAAACTGCTCAAAATTTTTGAACGTCGTCTCGACAAAGCAAACTTCTTATCCACTACTGTACTCTTTCAAGGCAATGTGTGTGCTTGAGTGACAAATGCGAAGAAATAGACATTTTAATTGTTGGGCTACTATCGCATTCTTGTATTTCTCATGTCCTACATGTATACTTGATACTTGTCTTCGCTGGTTCAATCCTCGATCTAAATACCAGATTAGAAACAGGAATTCAAACCACTTTGCGAGCCTTGTGTGATGCGAAAAGCCCAAAATTTGGCAATTTGACGGTCCTTTTGTGAAGTCTTTTCCTAGCGGTCGACGCTGGTACTTCAGATTAGGCTCTGGCGCACTCAAAATACTGAACCCTAGGCACTTGTAAGTATAATCACTCAGGAGCCATGTACAGTATTTCATATTCTCTGTGTACTTTCTGTCCCTAAGGAGCAGTATCTTAGCTCTTTTATTACATTTTTATCAGCACCCATCACCACAAAGCACATTACGGTAATGACCTTGATAGTAATTATTTAACATGACCTTGAGAACAACTCGTAATCGTGTAATCTGTGGAACACATCATGGCCAGACGTTCTGGCGGGCGGCGAGCGCTTTGATGTGGTGGGAACATGCGCAGTAGGCGGTCTGATAGCACATCTTGCGAGCGGTCACGGCTTGGAAGCCACCAAAGGAAGGCATGTGTAAAGGGGAGGGGGGCGGTAACCGTTTATTGCCATACATGTGTGGTACAAAGCGTATGGCGACCATCTGGGCCGGAAACCACAATAATCTGGGGGTTCAACCACAATATCCCACTGTAAATAAAATACTAGTAATTTGTTTCATAAATTGATTAGTTTTTGTCCGCTCTTACGTTATGTTGACTGGTTTAGCGTAGGGCAAAGAGCTTTCAGAACGTCCTTGCAATGAACGTCCTTGCAGTTATAATACAGAGCATGATTTTCTTCTGATTTGGATGTATATTTTAGGCATAAAAATTAGTACGTTGCAAGAATAAGAAATAAATGTTATTTACCAGTTTTTTCCGTCCATGCGAATCAAATAGGATCATGATTTTGACACATATTTGAAAACTTGAAAGCAAACTTCTTGTTTACCTTAGTCTGATAGTTACTTTTGAGTTTATTCGTTATTTTTAGATTGTGGCTTTCTAAAATCGCTTTGTCCCTTTTTGTTGGTTTCATTTGAGACTTTTTTCTCAACAAAGTCCGCCCTTTTTATATAGTCTCCACCAGACTCCTTTTTCTTTAAGTTTGGACCTTTGATGACCGGGAAAGACCTCTGGCCAATTATATGTAATTTCTACGATTTAGCCTGCAAAAGGAGTCTGGTGGAGACTACTTTTATATAATGTCCTTGGTTGAAGCCAAAGTGAATGACTTACAGATGTAGCCTCCTCAATACCTCATTAATTTTCAATCTTGTATCTTCACGGAAGGTCGAAACTAGTGCATTACCATATCTTAGTTGGGCCGACAAGGCCGTTAATTAGAAAATTGGCCGTGTAAGATGCGATTCTGATAGCGGCGGAAGTTATCCATAACGTCTTGACGTCTCGATCGTCGCTACATAATCAGTGGAACCAAAGCCAGGACCCTGGAGATTCGGGCTGGCCGAGATCTCGCGAGATACCGCGGTAACTTGTCTGTAGTAGACGAGATTTCATCATTCTGTGCCTTCTCTCAATCAACGTCTTTGTAAGCTCAATCTAATGCAATTCAGGGCAACAAAACTGGATTTTCAAACTCAAAGTCAGTTTTCTGGTCATTCTTTTATGTTGTAAGTTGAACCAACCTATCCTGTAGCTATAGCATACTAAAATCTGTGAGGCAAAAATGCGATGTCACTAATGCAAAAAGCTTTAGGTTTCTTGTTTTGTATCGTAGGCGGCTGGTGATAGATATACAGTACTAGTGCATGTACGGTACCCCAAAATGAAGAGACGCCTCACATGGCTTGTTTTGGGCTATTTCAAACGCTTCAAGTATGTAATGATATGTGGTGAGAAATGTAACTGTCAATATAAAAAATGAGTTCCTCATCCAGAATATTTTTGTTTTGCTGCCCTAGGCCTGAAATCGCATTTGATGCCTTTCAATACAGTAATCTTGGTTCATATAAATACTAGTAATTTGTGACCCCCCCCCCCATTTTGTATCCACGATCTGGGTGATTTAATCGAAGGGGAAATGGCCGAGATTTTTACTCGTTTGTTTGTGTGAATAGGTTGCTCATGTAATTATTAATTTCATTGTATGTTCCCCTGTTTCAATGTAATACTCTATATGCGGCGGCTTCTACAATTGACTCCGACGCACTTGGTGTAGGGGTGCTAATTACGGAACCGTTTGATTAGGCGCGGTAATTAGGGGTGTTAGAGCACCGTTTTGATAGGATTAGCACCAGCAGCGAGTATCACATTTGCAGTTTGTTTTGTTTTGTCGTTTGAACAGCCAAGTCAGTTGGGAAAAGTTCGCCTGTCATATTTTTAGCTTTATCCCTAGCCTCTATCAAACTTCAGGAAGCGGCTGGAAAAGTAGATATAAGCCAAATAGACAGAACCCTAACCCTACTAAAACTCGGTAGCAGTCAGGATGAAGTAGCCTCTGCCAGGCTTCGAGAAGCGACTGGAAAGAGTGGAAATTGGCAAAATTGACGGATAACATGCCAGGGGAGTTGGTCCGCACTAAGAGAACAGTTTGCCGCTCACGAAATGTTCTCTTGTGCGGACCACTCCCCCGGCATATCGTCTGTCTAATTTCTATCCTTTACAGCCGCTTCTCGAAGCCTGGTAGAGGCTACTTCATCCTGAATACTACCGAATTTTGGTCGCCTCAATTTTCACAAACAGTCTCTTTGATTCCGTTGTTCAGTCACGGGCAATTAATAGAAGCCAGTAGCAAGTTAATTAAGAAACAGTATTTGATCCGGAAAACATAGTGATATCAAAACGCCAAACGAAGCATGGCCTACTATGAATACAGAAAGTCTTCTTCCCTAAAATACTTTAGTACTCTTGACTTGGTTATTCCAAGGAGGTTAAACCAAGGAGCTTAAAATCACATGGTGACACAGGGAGCAAAAATTGCGAGTCAGAAACATGCTCCTAGCTTATAGCAGCTATGGCACTCCTTGAACAGTGATGTATTATTCTATTTGACACGGCGAAACTTCGCTTAGAAATGTCGGTAGTGGTGGATCAATGTTAACTGTAGTAGCCACTGTAGCGAAAATAACTATTGACTTGTAATTCTAACAGGAAAACAAAATCTTCAAGTCAGAAACATGCCCCTAACACTGCTCGAACACTGTGATGTATTATTCTATTTGACACGGCGAAACTTCGCTTAGAAATGTCGGTAGTGGTGGATAGATCTATGTTAATTGTAGTAGCCACTGTTGCGGAAATAACTATTGACTTGTAATTCTAACAGGAAAAACAAAACTTCAAGTCAGAAACATGCCCCTAACACTCCTTGAACACAGTGATGTATTATTCTATTTGACACAGCAAAACTTCGCTCAGAAATGTCGGGAGTGGTGGATCGCTTTTAACTGCAGTAGCCACTGTTGTGGAAAGTACTATTGACTAAATTACTAAAACTTCAAGTCAGAAACATGCCCCTAGCACTGCTCGAACACCGTGATGTATTATTCTATTTGACACTGCGAAACTTCGCTCAGAAATGTCGAGAGTGGTGGATCGATTGTAACTGTAGTAGCCATTACTACTGACTTGTAATTCTAACAAGAAAACAAAAACTTGAAGTCAGAAACAGCACTGCTCGAACACTGTGATCAACTCTGTATAATGTCCTTGCTGTGATGTATTATTCTATTTGACATGGTGAAATTTAGCTCAGAAATGTCTAGCGTCGTGGATCGATGTTAACTGTAGTAGCCCTTGTCGCGGGTCAGGCTTTGAGCCGCCATGAATTATTTAAATTCTAATCAGTGACCGCTGATGAGATATATTGGATCGGGTTTCTCTTAGCTTTGCGATTCTTGTGCAATTCCAAAATGAAACGCTAGATGGAGTTTCTGAGGCGACTACTGCGTCTCCCCTCTCGAAAATTGAGCCCATTTCAACAATTCTCATTTTATATTCGGCCCGTGGATTTTATAAACCCTTCAACGAAACGCGCTTCCCTATATGGAATACATGTACATTGACCTGCATGTCTCAATGCTTTGTGTGTCATAACATTTATCTTATGGTGTGTGGCTTTCTCTGTTGTACATACTGAGCAAAATAATATATTTCTATTTCTTAAAGGCATCCAGGGCAGCAAAACAAAGTTATTATATGGATAAGAGAATCTGTGACATTGACAAATATATACTGCCATTTCATAGCAAGTATATATTCGTCATAATATCATAGTTGAAACGTTTGAAATAGCCCCAAGACAAGCTACTGAACGTGATCGATGAGTCCCTTTATTTTTTGGTACCAGCCATAAATATCTCGAAGCAGATGACGACACAAACAAGCAACCATTTTCGTCAGCGACATCGTATTTTTGCCTCACAGATATCAATAACTATGCTATGGAATTGGATTTATTCAACGTACTACTGTATATTAAAAGATTGTTCACAAAATTGGTTTGAAAATGCTGCCCAAAATTTACGCGTTTCTATTATCAAGAATGACTTCTAATGGCAAGCACGGATCATAGAAAAGCAATATAAAAATGCAGCCATGCAGGATCCATTCCCCGCTGAATAATAACTTTGTAATAGCCGTTGATAAACGACCGTAAAATACCAGCAGAGGACAATCGAAATCTTACATCGATTTGGCCCATAATGTGGTCTTTCTGGCAGTTTATGATAGGAGAAAATCCCATAAAGATTATGAACTTTACAAACCATGTATGAACCAAATCATAAAGCGGACGTCTTACTGCTTAAATAATGACAAGAGCGCCAGGGAGTCAAATATATTTATTGCAGGTCTTATAGGTTTACATGGATTGCATAGTAATGGTATTTTTGAGAAGAGAATTTCCATATGTTTCCGATCTTTCTACAGCTTGAAATTTATTGCAGTCGGAATCTTTACGGTTACCGTCGTGTGATCACTCAGCAACATTTTATCTATAGCTAAATATGTGCATGATATAATGTTAATATACATATGTGCGCTTGCATATAAAGGGCATACGAGTGGGTATATATATGTGGTGATTGGGTAACGATATTGTTTGGTAATATATAGTATATACATATATTGAATGCATATATTGGGTTAGAAATTCACGTACTTGATGGACAATCCTATCCTTCTTTGCCCTCGGAGGTCAACATGCGCCACGAGGGTCGCTGTGCAAGTGACCTGGCGAAACGCTCTCGTTTCTTATTTTATTGTACAGCGTCTTTTACACACGTACGTGTTTAGCCTCCATCAGGCCTTTCTATGGGAATACGGATCATAGAATACGGCAAAAAGGAGATTAAAATTGGCCAGGGGAGTCAGTCTGTGGGAAGACTATTTCTTTCCCTCCCTGCGCAGCCAGTCAAACCCCAAGGCGGCCAAACTCCCCTGGCAAATATTCTCCTGTATATAGCCAGCGTAGTTAGTCTGGTAGAGACTAGTACGTGTACACCTATTGTTATTCTCTCTTGTGTCAAGGAAGACTACACTTCATATTCGTTATTCGTAAACTAGAACTTCAGATGAACATACGATTTATACTATTTTTTCGGCCAAATTTCAACAGATCAAATAAGAAATAGCAAAAGTATATGAGGCCACTGTGAATAACCAGAATGGGAATCAAATGTGTTATTTGTATAGTACATGTGCATGATATATAGACAGGTGAATAACTATAGAAGCCTGGAATCCTCATGTCACTGTTCTTCTATTATCCATGTCCACATTGTGCGGAAACCTGGCTTGTTCCTCTACAGAATTCCTGTAATCCAAGAGGAGAGTTTTTCAGTAGAAATTTCACTGCTGCAAAGTGCTAGTGTTTAAGAAGACAAACGCACGCACGCACGCACGCACGCACACACAGACACAGACACACACACACAGACACACACACATGCATACGAACAGGCACACAGACACACACACACACACACACACACACACACACACACATGTATCTGTTTATTATATTGAATCCCACAGCTGTCCTTAGTACTGAACGCCATCCACACACACACACACACACACACACACACACACACACACACACACACACACACACACACACACACACACACACACACACACACACACACAGATGCAACTATTTAATGTACATGTATTGAAACCAACCTATACCTGTCCTTGGTGCTGAAAGCCATGCACACACACAAATACATCTGTTTATTGTATTGAAAATAAATCACATTGGTTCTTGGTGCTGAACGCCATCCACACATAGACAAATACATCTGTTCATTGTATCAACATCCATACCTGTCCTTGTTGCTGAACGCCATCCACACACACAAATGCGTTTGTTCATTGTATTAAAAAGCATACCTGTCCTTGGTCCTGAATGCCATCCACACACAGATACACACAAACACATCTATTTATTATATTGGCACTCGCACTTGTCCTTGGTACTGAACTCCGTCTATACACAGATATACCCGACTCTCTACATAAGGGCCCAGTCCGATTCGTCATAAATTGCAGACTGAGAGTATTCTTAGAATAGTCGTTCATATGTCGTAAAAACTTTCAGCTGTCTTGTTACCGAAAAGATAGCCTTCGATCCTTGTAGCTGGTTGGGTCTGTCACACCCTTCTTGAAATAAAATTCTACGGCATCAAAATCGTGTAAAGTCCTACGGTAAAGGTAACCTCGCCTTTTAAAAGGAGAATATTTTCATCTCACGGTGTATAAATGTTACGATGATCCGAGAGACACTTGTGACTTTCTAAAGTCCTCCTTTGCAATCGAGTCGTGTGTGTGAATACATTGCACAAATTTGAATGTAACCTTCTTCACTTCTCTCCTACACTGTCTATACCTGTCCTTGGTGCTGAACGCCATCCACACACAAAAATACATTTGTTAAGTGTATTGAAACCAACCCACACAAGATACGCAACCTAATTTGCATGCAACCTTCTTCACTTCTCTCCTACACTGTCTTTACCTGTCCTTGGTGCTGAACGCCATCCATACAAACAAATACATCTGTTACGTGTATTGAAACCAACCCACACAAGACAGACAACTCAATTTGCATGCAACTTTCTTCACTTTACTCCTACACTGAACACTTTACTGATAAATATGATGAGACAATGTGACGACAAGGTCTCAGTACATACCTGTTCCTTTCGTTATGCAGATAGGAAAAGCTGGGGGAAAAGATAGCAGACGTTACTGACAGAACAATGCATTCAACCGTGTGATATGGATCAGTATGTACACAACATAGGCATTTAACAAAGAATGACGAATAATAGACTCTTCCTTTTCATTTCTTCACATACTAGTAATTTCTTCTTTTCCTTCTATTCTACGACATTAGTATCGTATTTTTTTTTCATTTTATGGCATATATCACCTGCTTTGTACAATTTACAGTAAGGTCGAACACCTCTTCTTTTGGAAAAAGACGAAAATTCACGCAAGCAAGGATGCCATCCATATAATCAAATCAACATTGCCAATTGTAAATCTGAGAACACAATATTGTCGCTAATTTCAGATACGTTGGTATTCTAAAGTTTCTTCAGCTTCAATTGAAACTAATATCCGTTTCTCCAGCTATAATTGAAACTAATGTCCGTACTCCAACCGGCTTAATCAGTCATTTTCTTCACTTGTGGTCAGCGGAAATGAACTAGAAACGAGAACGGACGGACCCAGATGGGAATCGCATGCAACAATTATTCCCCTAGCCCGGTATCCAGTCTATCGTGGTCGGGGCAGGTTGTCTTCGGGGCTCTAATAGTTTTCCCCCGTCCAGCTCAATAGGCCGTCCGGTAGGAGTGTTACGCCTTTAGGAGTTTTGCTAATAGTTTTGTACGCTATGTATAGTGAATGGTGGGGCTAATTGAACTCCGATCATTGGAAACTTACCTGGGAACCTAACTGACGTGACTCAGTGAGCAGTGGATCATAGGTTGCAGAAAGTCTACAGGCCATCTACATCAGGGCTTAACAGAGACGGGGGGCGCCACAGACTTTCTGAAACCTATGATCCCCTGCTCACGGAGTCACATGTGGTATGTACGTGACGTCACGGAAGCGGTTGATTGCTCATTCCTTGACAAAGACTGGAGTTGTACAGTCGAAAATTTGGATGAGTCCAATTCAGTTTTGTGTTGGCCATTACAGTTCAAACTTGTTTCATAACGAAGTGATAACGAACCGTACCTCTTTGACCTCCTCGCCGTTTCCCTGCCATCCTGCGCATAGGAGCAGCAGAGCGAGCAGACTCAGCGCGCCCATGCCCAGGAAATATTCCCTGTTCATCGCCCTCTGATTGCTCAAGCCTCGGATGAACAGAACAGGGTCCCCGATGACCTCACCTCCTACAACCTCCCCCAGCTGGGCTTTACTCCTCGCTACAACCTGTGAAATCAGAAACAACACAATCAGACACATGGTAGAAGTAAAACCAGTCCGATAATCTCCAAGCAGAGGTTGATGGGGGAAGTGCGTTTGCTTTTTATATATGGCCCGTTTTTGTCACTACTCCGACATATCCATCCCTCAACAGAGACGGGGGGCGCCACAGACTTTCTGCAACCTATGATCCACTGCTCACGGAGTCACGTGTGTTATCTGCGTGACGTCACGGAAGCGGTGGATTGCTCATTCCTTGACAAAGACTGAAGCTGTACAGTCGAAAATTTGGGTGAGTTTTTGTGTTGGCAATTAGAGCTCAAACCTGTTTATAAAATAAGTAAAGTAGAACCTGTTTGAGGAGGGTGCCCGGGAAGGTCCATGAGCTGCAGTCGAAGGTTGCATAGTACCCGATAACAGTGGTTCCCCTCTCCGTACCGAAGGGGAACTGTGGTGCGGGGTGGACTGTGATCAAACTCACGTTTCCTTCCACCCATTCTAGTATCCTGGGAGAAAAAATACGTTAGAATTATGTTTGTGAAAAACTGCACTAGTAATATTGCACAGAAAATAGAGTAGCGTGCGTAGTCCAGTGGGTAGCGTGCCTGCGAAGCTGATATTTTACGCCGAGACGCGATTATACCGGCTGTACAGATACAGAAATACTGACAGTATATTTTACTTTAGACGTTTGACAAATACGCTGGAAATATGGTCCAAATAACTTGAAATAACTAGTAGCACAAGAAGAACAAAATACTAGTACCCTAGAAATTGTCTGAGAAACAATACGATATATTTAATTGCGTTATTAGGTAGACTTAAGCCTTTACTTCTTTACAAATCCTCTTTAAATCAAGTATATGGGTTATTAATCCATTATACGTATAGATCTATTTCTATTTAATAACCATAATCCACTAATTTGCACTCTACACATTCGCACAGTTTCGCATATCCCATACACACCCCTAAGCATTAGACCCCGTGAGGGGTATTGCTTAGTATTGTATAGAACTAGAACCCCAAGGACGTTCTTATAATGGAAGCTCAATTCGGAAATTACGTTTCAAGCTGTGTGCAACTGCAACAGTTAGGCCATGTTGATTTGATTATATGGATGACATCCTCTGGAAACCCCAAAACTGATGCGCGCGTGCGAATAAAAAAAAAGTTTTGCAAAAAAAAGAAGTTGTTTCCATTATGAAATCTACGTGGTCATGAGGGTTGAACAAATGGCACAGAATATGTTATGGCGAATAATCTACTCTTCGAATTCATTTCTTTACATTTTTGTCTTTTTTCCTTTGATTTTGGCATTCTACGACATTGGTATCGTTTCTAAATGTTTTCCTTGCAACCTATGGTATATTTTTGCTCATTTAGCAACTGTTTTGCACGATTTACAGTATGGTTG